TATATTAAAACTATCGATAACTAACAGAGATAAATCACATCAAAATCAATGTAAAACCATTGACAGATGAGACAAGAATACTACAGTAACTGAGATGCAACATACAATACAACAATTTTACTTGAGAATATACATACAAAATTCAATACAAAGAAATAAACAACAACCTCTTAGAAACCGAAGTCCAACAACAACAAACCAAATAATTCACCAAATAACACTCAAATCAACATCGAATGACAATCAAAATACATCGAAATCATACTGCTGCCTCTACTATACTCAGCAAGAAACAAAAAAAAAAAATAGAAAAAATAAAACAAGAATAAAACCCCATACCCACATTTTTTTACATAGCAATTTGTTATCCTATACTCAATAAAAAAAGTAAAAAAATAAAAAAGTAACAAATTTTTATGGGGAAATCATAGGAAAAATATTTGCATTGGTAGTGAAGAAATCAGCACCAATTAACATTTCTCTAAAAAAATCAGCACCATCTAGAGTGAAAAACCAAGGAAATCCCAATAATAAAACCCATACCCTTATTGAATATGATGAGGTAATTCGTATGAGAGAAATCCCACCTTGTTTGGTGAATAATCATTAGAAGTAAGACCAACAAAAAAATGGAGAAAAACAATCTTACCAAGTTGAAAGCTTGCAAAATCGATGATCGGTTGACTGTATGAGGCGAACAAAATATTTAAAAAAAAAAAAATGGCCTTGCAAATTTTTTCATTTTCTTGCTTTTTTTTTCTTTCTAGAATTTGTATTGAAACACATAGAACAATAAACAAAATATCGACAACTACTAGAGAGAACACGCATCAAAATTGTTAGAAACTGTATTTTTGTATATTTGGGCCTTAGGCCCTCATGGAAGAATTATTTCATAATACTGCAGATAACTCCATTAAATTGCTTGATAAAAAATATACAACACTCCCATTAAATATATGGTTAGTAATAGTTAAAGATAAATACCAACGGTTATGAATAGACACCACCTACTACCAATAGTTTTGGATAGATACCACCTAATCCAAAAAAATAAAACCCATACCCCCATTTTTATAACATTGCAATTTATTCTCCTATACTAAATAAAATAAGCCAAAAATAAAAAAAAACAACAAATTCTCAAGGGAAAGTCATAAATAATTGTGAAGAATCCCGTCTTATGGTATGATATTCAACGGTATCAAAATTGACGTTTTTGGTTTACCGATCGTAATGTCAACCATCGAAAGCCCTAAACCACAAGCTATGAAAGACCCATTTTTCTTCATTTCATTGATCTAGAGAGGCCAAACCCAACAATTGGGTAAATTCATCTTCATTCTAATGTTTGAAAGAGAGAGAGGCCAACTCAATAATTGGTTGAATTTAGCTTCTATTTTACGTTCTCTCCTTTATGTAACCTACATGTTCCAAATGGTTATTGGTCTGAAGCTATTTTAACTGCTTGCTATTTGATTAACAGACTTCCAAGAGTAAAATCCTTAACGATGAATCTCCCCTTGAAATTTTGAAAAATAGAAAAATTGATTTGTCTCATTTGCGAGTATTTGGATACGTGCCTTATGTTCATGTGGCTGGGAACAACCGAGATAAACTTGATAAAGGTTTCAGTAGATGTTTTTTTTATGGATACTGCTCTACTCAAAATGAATACAAATGTTATGATTCCACTAACAGAAAAATGCATATTTTCAGATATGTTCAATTTGTTGAAATAGAGTCCTATTTTCATGATCATTGGAAAGTGGTTTGGAAAATATGACTCAATGGGTGTGTTCAAGATGACGTTTACCCTTGCCTAATATTAGTGCCAATGATATGTTCAACACACTCGGAATTAATCATGACGATTAAGTCGAAGTTGAAGATACATCTGAAACTCACCAAGCTAGCTTAGAAGAAGAAGACTCTGTGTGCCCCACTTGACCCCCCCTTGCACAGTTCTCTTCGTATCTCTCAACCTGCGTCTTGACTTCAAGATTTTTATATTTATCATGCAATTTCTTTTCTTGTTTAAAATCATATTTTCTATGAAAATATATATCCTGGCTATTTTACTTTTTTTAGTTCTATTTCTAATAATTATGAGCCAATTTATTGAGAGACATAAGGCTTAGTTGGTGGCAAAAAGATTTACCCAAACTTATGGAATCCGACTATAAAGAGACTTTTGCACCAGTTGCCAAGATGAATATTGTTCGTATTCTTTTATCGATTGTAGTTAATTGTAGATGATCTCTATATCAGATGGATGTTGAAAATGTCTTCTTACATGGTGACCTTAAAGAAGATGTCTATATGAGTCTTCCTCCAAAACATTTTAAAGAAAATGAGAAAGGCCTTGTATGTAAATTAAAGAAAGTTGTGTATGGACTTAAACAATCACCTCACATATGGTTTGCCAAACTCAACACAGCCTTGATGAGTGTCTGGTTTCTTAAAAGTTCGGTCGATTCTTCGATGTTCACAAAATGGGAAACTTCATATACAACAGTTGTACTCATTTATGTTGACGATATTATCATTAAAGTTAATGATAAAGAAAACATTATGAAACTTAAAAATTTACTTCACAAAAAATTTGACATCAAGGATCTTGGACAACTAAAGTATTTTCTCGGCTTTAAAGTAGCACATTAAAAAAAAAAAGATGCTTCATTTCTCAAAGGAAATATAAATTAGCTATGTTGAAAGAAATTGGGAAACTGTGAGTCAAACACGTTGACACTCCTGTTGATATTAATTACAAGCTTAATTCAACAAATGGAAAACGTCTTGAAGACATGGGCCACTTTCAGAGACTTGTAGGTAGATTGATTTATTTGATTGTGATATGACCAAATATAATGTATGTGGTTAGTCTTGTGAGTTAATTTATGCATAATCCTAAATCATGTCATATGGAGGTTGTTGATAGAATTCTCAGATATCTTAAGTCTTTACCTGATAGGTGTTTGATTAAAATATGGTCATAATAATATTATTGGTTATTATGATGCTAACTAGGCAGGTAGTCCAATTGACTTGAAGTTCACTATCGGCTATTGTATATTGGTCAGAATAAGCTTAGTTACTTGGAAAAGCAAGAAACAAAATATTGTTGCTCGATCCAATGCAAAGGTCGAATATAGAGCTATGGCTTCAACTACAAGTGGATTGATGTGGTTAAAATACCTACTTCGAGATATGGGGTTCCAAATGGTCAATCCAATGGAGATGTTTGTGATAATCAAACAGCTATGCATATAGCCTCTAATCCAGTACTTTTTCATAAAAAAACCAAGCATATAGAAGTTAATTGTCATTTTGTGAGAGAAAATGTTCTGTAAAAAATTGTTAGTACTCTTTATCTTCGAAGTGGAGACCAAATATTCACGATTCTCTCAATTAATTTTTGGCGATATGTATTTTATCCAATTTTTCACCCTCAACTTTTTGGAGCAAACCTAATCTATTACCAATATTTTGATATTTCAATATATTCTGACTAGCTAACTATAGTTCCAACCTGTAGTGGTACAAATTTCAGGTTAGTTGGTACGAGTTTCCATTTAATTGGTATGATACTGGAACGGTTTCATGCTATAGCTTTAGGGATCGATGACTGTAGTACACGAGTCGCATACCTCTTCTAACAGTTTTTAGGTAGACTATTTTTATATTAAAGAAAGGTTTCTATACTTTTTCCATAGCATAAAAGATATATACTTCCCCCTCCATCCAGCCGTCCAATTTAAGATCAAATGAACCAATGATCATTTGATCTAAATCTGATACCTCAGAGTGTTTTATTTTTAGTTTTTTTTCAACTGATTATAGAAAAATAAAATTTGATACTATCTTCTCAACATACGTAAAACGAATATTAAAAAGAATTTTTTGATAAAATATAATTACCAAAATACTCCTTGAAACTTTCAGGGGTTTTTTGATCATTTTATTTTATTCAGAATATTTTTTTATATTTTTTGCAAGTGCGAGTTTAATAAAGGAGTGAGTACCCAAAATTTGGTGTCCAAATAATTTGTAAATAAAAAAATAAAAAATAAAATGATGTAGAGACATGATATTGTGATTGGGGCCATCTCAGCCATCCATTCAAAATGGACAGTTGGATGAAGGGAAATATATAAATTTTAAGCGCAAGGAAAAGCATACAAGCTTGTCCTTTATAATATACTAACCCTGCAACTACTTACAGTTTTAATAGCATATATTAACCCTACACATGCAAAACGAAAATTGAGTGTGTCAAGCCATTCCACACTATTAAATAGATGAAATGATACCAACTTAAGAAATGTGTCATTAGCATGAAAATATCTCAACCCATAGTTGTATTCAGGCAAATGAAGAAAACTACCCTCGTGTAAAGGTGACATAACACATTATTGGAAAAACGGGTATTTATAGGTAATTGAACTATGCTCTTCAATCCCATGCACGTGTCTGTGTTAACAATACATATCCGGCAGATTTTATTGTACGGCGGGTCAAAGCCCTATTTAAGAATATATTTAGGGCCACAACTTTCGGGGATACAACAGTGAATGACCAAAAAAAATAAATTAATTAATATACATTCGGTAGAAGTAACGTCCAAAAATTGAACGGATATCATGCCAGATCGTGTTAAGAAACTCAAATATGCAATTTTTTTTGTTGATTTCAAAATATTAAGAAAAAAGAAAAAAAAAACAATCACTCATCTGGTGATTCTATAGTGAAACCTAAAAGTTTTGATTACGAAATTACTTCTTTGTATTTACCCGTGTACAGTGAGCTCTCACGGGGACATGCTGTCTGTGTTCATCCAAAAATATATACATACATCCACACATATCTGATGATAAAAAATAAAATATTTTTATACATAAAGCAGCATTCTGAGATTCGGATATGAGCTAAAACATGGCACAAACCTGAAGTTGTTTTAGCGCATAACTGAACCTCACAAAAGCAGTCTCATCATTCCATGACGCAATATACAGATTTCAATATAAAAACCGAAATAAGCCACAGGATTATTAAGTTACAAGAAAGAGCACAAAGACCAATGAAATACCAGCCCTGACACAAAGAAAGATTAAAAATAAGTCCAAGAAAATGCACAAAGGCCACCAAAATACAAGCCAAAACAGGAAAAACAGGTATCTCTTTGGTATTGGAACCTCTAAGAAGGGAAGCACTACTGCTTCACAGTATCTGACACATTATTAGGTATATCCAGGGCCTTCTCTTCAAAAATACTCCACCAAGATCTGCATCTAGCAGCAACACACATTTTGAAGACACCGCAGGTAATTTTCATGAATTTCTCATAAGACCAAAGATAAAGCTATAAATCTCTGCAGTCTGGACAACCTTTCTATAGGCCCACCTACCTGATTATGTTGCATGTTATCCAGCAATAAATCAATATATGTTCCGAATCAATCTCAACAAACTTTCTGTCAAATGTGATGATCTATCTTCCAAGACAATAAAATCAAGCCAGCCAAGCAATCATGAAATTTCATTAGCTTTGAATAAATTATCTGGCAATCTCACCAAACATGGATAAAAGGTGCAGACTACAAGGAATGAACTCACTGGGTTTCTTCCACTTTAATACCATGAATAGCAGTTGTAGAGTGGGAACACAGGGACTGCATCAATGAATCAAGCAATATGCAAAACAACTGACAATGTAGAGAGAAAGCGAGAAAGCAGCCAAGTAGAGAGATAATTTGCAGCTGCTATAGAGAGTGCAGGTCTAGCTGCCCACCAATGTAGCAGGGTGGGGTGGGGTCCAGATTGGAGGGGTGGGAGGAGAGTATTGGTGCATGATATGCCTATCAAATAGCATGCGACCAATATAACTTTCTAAACTACTCTTTACATGGGATTTCTATTTCAAAGACTAGTTCCAAATAAAAAAACTCCCAATAAGACTTCAAAAGTTTCTCTTTTTTTTTTTTGGGAACTTGCAGAAACCAAAGTTTAGAGAACCACTTTTCTTTCGACACACTATTTGTAACATCCACCCACTTGTTTCCATAGAGGGGAAAAAAAAAGAACCATTTTTTATTACTAGCAGCAGTAGTGTTGGACCACTGTTTTTTTCGACACACTATTTCTAACATCCACCCACTTGTTTCCATAAAGGGGAAAAACAAAAGAACCATTTTTTATTATTACCAACAGTAGTATATCTATTTATGAGTTGTTCAAATTGTACAAATTTTAACAATCTCTAGATCTATTTGCACATATAGAGTCATCTAATGAGCATTTTTAAACATGTGCATCTCTTATGTCATCGTAACGTATTCCATGATAAAAGCTGCTTATTATATTCCAAGTTTATGCTTCTAGATCACTCTCATGAGATGCCTTAATGTTCTTAATTACTTCAAGTACCCATAATGCATGAGGCACACTTGTGCCTAGCCTTCATGGGTCATGGCTTCAGATAGGTGATTTTATCACAACCAAAAATGTGGTCATAATGCCACAAGGGCTGTCATTGAGTAAGTCAGGCTCAAAAGTAGCAAAGTGGCGCCATGGTGTACTAAGGCTCAGAGTGCCTCACACAAACATCATTGGGTCACTCTAGGCCTTTGTGACTGATGACCCATGTGTGGCACTCTGGAACTTAAGTGACCATCGGGTCACCTACGTGGCACTCCAGGCATTGGTGCCCTGATGATGCTTGTGGGCACTTTCACATAGGTGTTAACAGGTCAATAAGGCTTCGAGTGCCACAGAGGCGTCCTGGGGTCATAAATCCATAGTGCCATATCGGTGTTATGAGGTCACAAAGGCCTAGAGGGCCACACAAGCATTATTGGGTCAAAAAAGTCCGGCCTGCAAATAGGCATGATCAGCTCACAAAGGCTCAAAGTGCCACACAATCGTTATCGGGTCACAAAGGGGGAGAGTGTCTCTCAGACATCATTGGGTCATAAAGGTGTGTGTCTCATAAAGGCCCATGGTGCATACAGGTATCATTGGGTCACCAAGGCCACAAATGCCACACAGGCATCAACGATCTACGGGCCATACCCACTACACACTCAAGTATGCTTATACTGATTCCCTTAGTCAATGGGTAACCATTAATCAACGTTATTAGGATAAATGAAACATCAAATTTGATTTTCCTCAACATAATACTTATAGAGCAGTATTTCCTTTTAATGTGTTGACCTTACCATGGTGCTTAGGGTGTTTTTTTTTTTTCTTGAACAATTAACCGTAGCTTTTCATTGATAAAATGAAAAACTACAACAAGGGAAAAACAAAGAAAACAGCAAAAGGAAAGGGGGAGAAGCAGAAGTAGTCCGAGGAAAGTCACACCGCTATGCCCCTGGCCAAAGCATCTGCACTTCCATTCCTCTCCCTATGGATGTGTACAAATTGAATCTCCCTACCACGAAGGCACATTTCAATACAGTCCCAGATATGAACCCACTGCCACAGGGTAGGAGAAGGTTGCCTACACCAATAACATTTACAGAATCTCCTTCAATGACCACCGAAGGTAAGTGTCGTCAAACCTGTTAACCTCATGAAAGAGCGCCCAAAGCTCAGCTTCATGGGCAGTGCACAGATGTAAATCACTGTGGTAGGACCAAATAGTACCCCATATATCCCTAAGAAGACCCCCAAAGCTGTCCACCCAACCATCTTCCCTCACACTGCCATCAAAGTTGAGCTTGACCCAACCAAAGGGTGGGGAAACCAACGACTATCCTTCAGGAACTTTCTCTTTTTCAGGGTCAGAAGCATATAAAAGTTAGAATCAAAGAACTCCTTTTGAAGGAGCTTGAAGGCAGACTGTGCATGGGCCATTCAACAATCGTCTTTAAGATGAAGGATTAAAGGGACTCAATATTTCTGTTTTTTCCTTCGAAACATCTAGCATTCCTCTCCTTTCATATTGTCCAAATGACTGCTGCCACACATAAATGCCACAAGTCTAGCCCCAGCAATGAGAAAAGGGGGACCAGCCATGTTGAAAGATGCCCGGAATGTGGCATGGCATCACCCAATGCCATTTGCATTTATACAAAAGCCACTCCCAGATACGCCAAGCCATGGGGCAAGTGAGAAAAATATGAGCAGCAGTCTCAACATCCTGCTTACAAAGGATGCACACATTAACAATGGGAACTCCCCTTAGTTGAAACTGGTCAATGATTAAAATACGACCCCAACCAAGAAGCCACAGGTAAGCTCTCACTCTGAGAGGAGCCTTGCACTTCCAGACTTTGAAGGAGAGGGAATCGGTCGGGATATATCTATCCACTAATAAACATTTATAGCACGACTTAACCGAAAAAACCCTAGAGGACTCCAGCTCCCAAATCACTTTGTCTCCTCTAGAAGGAGCAAGGCATAAATCATAAAGTTTGGACAAAAGTTGAGAGTACTGCTTCTCCACCACTAGATTCACCCTCCTGGTATTCAGGGACAGATTCCAAATAACCTTGTCTCCATGCATCCTGCCATATCACAAATCTTCGCAATTTTAGGGGTGCATTTGATGAAAAGCTCAGGAAGTTGGGACTTTAAAGGGCATACCCCAGACCATTGGGAATGCCAAAACTGCGTATCTATACCATTTCCAACCAGAACTCTGCTATAGGCCAGGAACAAAAGTCTAACAGAGTTGATACCCCTCCAAACAGCAGATGCAAGAGCCCCAACAGATAGTTTTTTCGGGATCAGGTGGCAATGATCCCACCCATATTTAGAGATAATGACCTAAAACCATAACTGTCCTTGTGAAAATGAGGCCCTCCACCACCATTTCGTGAGTAATGCATCATTAACTGTCCTGAGTCATCTAATTCCCAAACCACCTTCTTTTTTGGGTAAGCAAACACGTGCCATCTAATAAGATGTAACTTCTTTTTGTCTTGAGTCCCACTCCACAAAAAACTCCTCATCATTCTCTCTAGGATTTTAATCACAGTCTGTGGTGCTAGAAATAGAGAGAAGAAATATATTGATAGATTCGACATAGTCGCATTGATGAGGGTTACTCTTCCTCCAAAAGACAAGAATCTGCATTTCTATCCATCAAGTTTACTCTGAAATCTTTGAATGACTGGATTCCATTAAGCCAAAGTCAGGCGACCATCAGTGAGTGGAATCCCAAGGTAGTTGATCAAAAGGGTATCTCCTCCAAGCAGCTAATACCCATCAATGAGGTCTTATGTAACTTGACTTTAGCCCCAGACACTACTTCATAACATTTGACAAAGAGGCATAGAGATCTGATCTAAGCAAAGTGCCCGTCCACCGCAACAAAGTATCATCAATATATTGGAGGTGGGTGATGCATGGCCCTCTAGCAGACAGAGGTAGGCCAGATATCAAATTGCTTTCCACCACCCCAGCTAACATGAGCCTAAAAGACTCAGCCACAAGCGTGTAAAGGAATGGCGATAGTGGATCCCCTTGTCTTAAGCCTCTATTAGATTTAAAATAACCACAAGCCTTACCATTAATTAGCACTGAAAAATGTGCAAAGGATAGGTAGCCTTTAATCCATACTCTCCATTTATGGGGAAATCCCATAAGGTCCATAACCTTGCCCAAATAGTCCCATTCCATCCTGTCATAGGCCTTCTCAAAGTCAATTTTAAGCAAAACTCCCTTTCTCCCCTGGCTACGACATTAGTGAATAACTTCTTGAGCAATTAAAATACCATCCATAATTTGTCTACCCTTAACGAAAGCAAACTGGGGTCCCTTGGATTACTACTCCCATAACCTTCTTGAGCGTATTGGCAAGGACCTTAGAGAGGATTTTGTAGGATGAGGAGAGAAGATTGATGGTCCTGTAATAACTCCATATTCTGTTTCTTAGGAATGAGGGCAATAAAGGTAGAGTTTAAAGCTTTGGGGATCACTCCATCATAAACTTGCTTAGGGTGTCTAGTGATTGATATTTCTGCTTGGTTATTGCAATAGCTAGTTGTAGGGACCTTTTTCAAACCTAGCCATGGGAAAGAGGCTATGGGCAAGGAAATAAGCGCCTTCAAGAATGGAGCTTGGGAACCGGTAGATTCTCCTAAAAAGAGGAAGTTAGTTGGTTGTAAATGAGTTTATACTGTAAAGCACCAGGCCAATGGCACAACTAATAGATACAAGGCACTAGTAGTTCCTAAGGGGTTCATTCAAGCTTTACATAATAGAGTCAGAGACTATCAGGAGCCATTTGCTCCTGTGGCTACGATGAACTCCACATCCAAGCTGTGTCTTTCATTGGTCTCGGTGAGGACTCGATGTATCAGGATACAGAGAGTGGCCAATGCACCAATTGGATGTCAAGAATGTGTTTTTTTTTAAGAACTATAAGAAGTGTATCTGGTTCCTCAAGCTGGATTTAGGGCTCTTGGATATAAAGGAAAAGTTTTTAGGATTGAGAAAGGATCTATAGTCTCAAGCAGTTTCGCCGAGCTCAGTTTGAGAGGTCCAGTAGTTTTGTTCAAATAATTAGGTATACTCTAAATCATGCTGATCATACCTTATTTGTCAAACATACCAAGACTAGTACCACTGCAAAAACTGTATACATGGATGACATTGTTGTAACAGGTAATTATCATAAGAAAATTCAACAACTTAAGAGGTTGCCGGCAAGGGAATTTGAATTAAAGATAAGGGCCCATTGAAGTATTCTCTTGGGATGGAATTTACCAGGTCTAAGAGAGGAGTCTCTATCTCTCAATGGAAGTATGTGTTGGATCTCCTTAATGAAACCGCATTGCTTTGGGCTAAACTAGCTGATACTCCTATGGAACAAAACAAAAAACTTGACAACCAAAGGGGTGAACCTCTCGAAGATGTGGGGACATTTCAAAGATTAGTAGGTAGATTCATATATACCCCCTCACCAGTCCAGACATTCAATGGAGTGATTAGTCAATTCATGCATACTCCATGAACTATTCATCTTGAGGCTGGTGATAGGGTTCTTAGATATTTAAAATCACCAACAGGTAGAGGACTGCTGTTTTATAATCACTGTCATTTATGACTTGAGGCTCATACAGACTTAGATCGGGCTGGTTCTATTGTGGATGGTAGATCTACGTCAAGCTACTGTACCGTAGTTAGAGGTAATCTTGTAACTTGGAGGAGTAAAAAACATAGTCAGCTGTAGCCAAGTCAAGTGCAAAAGAAAAGTACTGATCCATGGCCAATGGTGCTTGAGAGTTACTATGTCTAAAAATTCTCCCACGAGAGCTTGGCTTTCCAGTGAAGGGGTCAATGTATTTGTATTGTGATTACAAGGGAGCTATCAATATAGCTCATAATCTGGCCCAACATGAACCAAGCACATAGAGGTAGATCGACATTTCATTTGAGAAATAGTTGCTACCTGAGAAATTCACTTCCCAAATAGAAGACCAGCTACTAGTATTCCCACCAAGGTGTCGGAAAACCTCGACTACAAGCAATCATAAGCAAGCTGGGCATATGATTGATACCTATGCACTATAGCTTGAGAGGGAGTGTTATGAATATCAAAGTCCATAGTTATTTCTCTAATTTGCAAGTCCCGAAAGACTTATTTATTCTTTCTCATACTTCGGGGCATTTGTGAATCATTATATTTGACATTATAAAAGGGTATTTGACATTGTAAAAGGGATGAGAGGGGCATATGCGCTGGTAAACCCAACTGGAAGCCTCCTCTCCTTTCTCTTCTCCAGATGACTTTCTCTTCTTCTCACCTTCTCTCTCTTCTATCTCTTCTCTCCCTAAGCCTCTACCTCTCACTCTTAAACCTTCATCTTCTTCTTTATTCCTTTTCATCTTTTTTTTTTTTGCCTTTGCTGCTGTATTTTTAACTTCTCAGCTATGGTTTTAGAGAGAGAAAGAGGTGATAGGGTTCCTATAGTTTCTAGGTTGAGAGAGACAGAGAGAGGATGGGGATCCTAAGGATTTTGTGTAGACTGGAATGTCTTGTGGAGCAGAACTAATGTAGAAAAAGGAAAAAAGGGGGAGTCACAGGTAAGATTGCAGAAATAAAGGGAGGAGGAAATGGGGACTTTATCGGATGCAGGGGCAATTCAAGATGAAGATTAAGAGCTTTTCCGGTAAGTGCAAAGCAAAAAAAAATTTACAAACAAAATTCCAACAAAAATTTACAAAAAAAATTTACAAAAAAAAATGTACAAGATTTAATATGCATAGGTGATAGTTCTGAAATGACTCGAACAAACGTGGCAGTTTCAAAGTTATCAAAAACTACGGTGGCAAAAATTAGGTTTTCCCTGAAAAAAGGATATCAAAAATGTAAAAATTTCTTTAAGGGGCACAGAAAATATCAATTTGCATTAGGCTGACATTTTGTAACCATAAAAAACATTTTCAAATCTTGGAGATGTTTTTAACAAGCAAGAAAAATGGATAGAGTTCTGGTCAAATTTCCAGATTGAGATATTTGAATTCAGATATGGCCTCACTCATACACAAAGACAAAATGCTGAACCTCACAAAATTTATTCCTTTTTGAGGATAACAACTTTTTTACTTGCGTTCGTAACCATGCAAGGATTATGCTTATAATGCCAGGCACAAGTCTAAATTTTAGCTTAGAGCTAGAGACATCCAAATTAGCTGACAAGCTCCCAACCCATGTGATGAAAGGTAAGCAATGTAGATGTAAAAAAATCTCAAATCTCCTCCATGACAAGGAACAAATCTGCTTTAACTTTTAACTAGATCAGTTCTGTTTTAGCTAGTTTCCAACTTATTCAAGTAAAATTGACATATTCTTTTTCAACAGAAAAGGTTGATGTCTAGTGTTCCACTGTTTCATAAGCCACGCGGACATTCAGACATTACCATGTGAGGTTAACACAACGCGCTCAGTATAACCATAACTCTCTCTCTCTCTC